AAATCTGGTAACCAGATCTCCTTGGTACCAGAAAAAAAAACCACACACACAAAAAAACTGGTGGGTGGTGTACACGGTACAAAGAAAGGGAGTCCCTGAGTGTCAGCATCTGGCGAGGCCACGTGTAGCATTATCTGATTAGTTTTCAGTTCCACACCCACAAGCTGAAAGATAAAAACACACACCCCTCCTCCCCGAGGAGGTAAAAATCTTCAAGCATCAACACCACATTTACATTCTGCAAGTCAGCCTCTTCCATGGCCCAATTTACATCTTGACTTCTCCAGTGGAGCGGTGGAAGTTCAGTGATGAGAGACGAGCTCACGTCCCTTTCCAGTTACCACATCCAGCAGACTCAAGATTGCCTTGCTTTGATCTGGGAGACATTCCTTCGTTTAGTTTAAACTGAAATGATTAAGCTGGAGATGAAGCCTCCTCACATCTTCTGCCATGCCTGGGATGTGATAATTGAGCATTAGCTTCCATGGGCCATTTTAACGTGTTCTGAGGCCATCCGGGACTGGTGAGCTGAAGCAGCAGCACAGGCACCGTCTGGCTGGCTGCAGTTTGCACTGACTTTATTGCACTCTCACAGTACTATTTTCTGGTTTGGTTCATGTAAAATGGCCAAAATTGGTACTGGGGTGGATTGATGGCAATGCTTTCTGTCTCCAGAAACTAATACTCAGGTTGGTGTTTGGCTTGAAATAGCTGAGTAGCAGTGAGAGACCAGAATATTGCTCATCATTTTGGAGTGAATAATGGGTTTGTAATATCTAACATGTTTTGTACTGTGACAACAGACAAATCAGAACAACTTGTATAGCTTTTGTCTATTAGCTCTCAATTTTTCTCATCTCTTTCCCATCTCCTTGCCTGTGACCTGATCTGTTCCAATGGCCGCTGGGTCCCATCCTTATTCAGTAACTCATGGGACAGTCTCAATCTTTTGACTGCCTTTCGTATCAAGACTGCCTGTGCCCATAACCATTTTGTCCTCCTCCAAGCCCAGTCCATTCCACAAAGTCATCTCTGTAACAGAGCAACTGGCACTAAATGCAGTGTTGCAGGCATTGGGGTAGCCTCAACATTATTTTATCCTATTCTTTATGTAGCTTTCATATTGCTTTTTAATGTACTCACTGCTGCAGCAGATCACAGATTCTCCCTGAGCTATCCACACTTGCTACCCTAATCTTTTTTCCTGAAATAAAATTACGCCTCATGACCGAGACCAAGGAATACAGCTTTTCTTAGCGCACTCCCCTGGGATCAGGAATTTCTCTGTCAACGGACACATACATCAATGAGAGATGAAAAGCAGCTTGTGGAATGAGTTTTAAACATGTATCACATATTTCATTGCTGCTGCTTATGTGCTACTCAGAAGGCCTTTTTAGAGTGTTTTCAGCCCATACCTCATGGCTTCTCTGTACTTAATAGGATTTTTTTTTTCTGCACAGGAATCAGGGCAAGAGATTTATTTAAGTTGCCTACACTTCTTTGTGAGCAGCTCCTGAATATGAAGGTTTTGTTGAGTTTCCTGCTTACTTTCAACGTGAGCACGTCTTAGCTTTTATCAAAGCATAGTAACCCATAACGTGTGAAGCTGTAATGTAATATCGTCTCACTGGGACATTTCACTGGGGGAGTGTGGCTCCTTCTGTGGATCTCTTTGTCACAACATGACTCCGTGTTACAACCCTAAATTTTAAATGTCCAGAAAGGGAAGGCAAGTCTGCCTTTGGCCCCTTGCTGGTTTCTGGGGACTTGCAGTTCCATTGATGCCTGGGGTCTTCCAGATGTGCATATAGCTCTCTTTTCCCTACCCTTCTTTTTTTTTTTTTTTTGGGGGGGGGGGGAGGTGGCAACACCCAGATGCACACATCTCTAGATCATTTCAATTCAACCAGATGTGGGAATCTTTCTTCTTATTTCTTTTTTTCCCCCCTTTTTTTTTCTTCTTTTTTTCCTTTTTTTTCTTCTTTTTTCCCTCCTGCCTACGCTAAAGTGCACTGCTATGCTGCTGAATTTTGTCTTTCTGTGGTAGACCTAGTTCATTATAATAATAATACACATAATTAAATCTAAACTCTTTTCTAGCAAAGCTATGCATGGGCAAACAGAGCGTGATGAATACAAAGCTGGGGGTTATTGGGCACAGGTTGGTGCAGGAGTGCTGACCTATATAACAAGTCTTCATTGAGTTATCTGAAGACAGTTAAAATAGCTTGTGCACTCGTTTGTTAGTGAATCTTTAGGAAAAAGGGCACTGTATGAATGTAGCATGGGATTTTTCTACAAAAATTCAAAATAAAATTAACTTTGGGGGTGGATTCATTCCCATATAAAGTCAGCCCTGGCGTGTGAGGCCAAAGATAGGCTAATCATGTTTGCCTTATTTTGAGCCCTCTTGAATTTGCCAAAATGCGATTAGGAGCAAGTAGAAGAGAAAAGGGGAGGGGAAGGAGATGCCTTTAAAAAACAGAGTGGGAAATACAACTGGCAAAGGGAAAAGCAAATACATAAAAATTGTGGAGGAAAAGAATATGGAGAGGAGAAATCCCAAGAGAATACTGACTCTGTGTGTGAAAGTTGTTTCTTCAGATTTAGCAGCACCTAACTTGTACAAGTGGTAATTTAAATAGATTGAAAAGATAATGCTAAAGACTACCAGGTTAGATGTTATCCTGTTAGTTAAGCTGCCATTACAGAGTTGTTACAAGCCCACCAAAAATCGTTCCCCATTTAAAGTGATTGATACCTCCTGAAGAGAGGAGCAGCCACCCATGTCAGCTCTAACACAGAGCAGCAGCTTCTCCTTAACGAGAAAGCTCCCGCCTACCCCGTGCTTTTAGACTGAGTCATCCTGGGGGAGAAAAAGCATACTTCAAAGTACAAAATAATGGGTCAACTAATTAATTTTTTTACATTGCTAGAGAAGTTTCTCCAAAATTAAATTCCATCCAGTTTCTTCTCACCTCCCAACCTCAGTCCTTCACTTCTCTATTTAGAACCATGATTTCTCTGAATCTAGTTTGGATTTAGCTATCTGGTGCTGACATTGCTTTGCCTATATGTCACGTAGGCACCATGGTCCCAGTTAGATGATGTGAACCCATGTACTTCGGTACTGTGGTGAGAGGTACTGTTGAAAGGCATTTTTTTACGAGTGGTAGTCTGATAGTTCAATCTCAAGATTCAGTGGCCTCATGTATGCTTTTAAAATAAATTAACCAGTGCCAGAATTGGTTCTCTGGCCCTAAGGCCAGTGGGACACTGTGACTGTGTCTGCAAAGCTGAACTCTTGTAGCCTCCGGACAGGTGGCTGTGTTCACACTGCTGAGGGACAATGCAGATTATCTCAAGCTACTGGGGATCGTCCGGAAGGGTTCAAGCCCAAACCCTACCAGGGACCCTTCTTATTATTAAAAGCATAAAAATATCCTACCCAGTTATTGCTTGTGCCTGTGCCCTGGCACTGTTTACAGGGATGGAGGCAGACATGGAAGTGTTCAAAAAACGGGTAGATGTGGCTCTTCGGGACATGGTTTAGTCTAGTCTACCCTTGACTGGCTTAGAGTAGACTTGGTAGTGTAGGTTAATGGTTGGACTGGATGATCTTAAAGGTCTTTTCCAACCTAAACGATTCTATGATTCTATGATTCTGTGGTTCTGGGTTGCAGTCGGGGGGTCTGGGCCCCCGTTTCGGCTCTGCCAGAGGCTTTTTGTGTGACCTTGGTCGGTAGCTTAGGATAAGATTCATTCCATTTAATGTTGACTAATGGTGAGGGTGTCTAATTAAACTAGTCATGTGTGCTCCCTCTCTGATCAGAGAAGGAAGAGAAAGCAAATTCAGAAGGTGAATCATCCCGTTTTAAGACTGGTGTCAGAGACAAATGAGATGAATAGCCCTCTGGAAGTAGCTGTTTCTTTCCATTAACTGTAGAGGAAGTCTGCATTAGAAGAATTTAGACTAGATGCCGGATTTATGACTGACTAAAATTAAGTAAAGTTAGTCCTGACCTTATCTCTATGCCTGCCTGTTTCTCCATTTGTTGAATGATAGAAATAACACCTCCTGCACCTCACATTCAAAGGCGCCATTGGGCGAGGAGCATGCTATAAATACTTTGGAAAGAAATTAAACCTAGGGGCAAAAATACAACTATTAGAGAAGTGAAGTCTTTACTCTTGAAACATCTCAATGACCATATGAGCAGTACCAGTTGGGGCATCCTGTTGCTTTTGCCATTTTTGCCCTTTACATTTTGACATCCGAGCACCCCTAAATGAGTGTTCCCAATGCGGCCATATGGCACGAGGGCAGTTAGCCTGGTTTGGGGAGAGAAGTAGGAGCACCGAGGAAGGGTGACCATGCAAGGGAGCGTAGGGCCCAGTCTTGGCCAGCAGCTTTGAAAGTTTTCCTTGTGATACTGCTCTTCTCAGATGACAGTGACTATTTACTTTTTGGAAAATCTCCCCGAGGAATGAAAGCTAATGACTAACTGTGACAGAGTTAAAGAAAAAAAATCAGGGGAGAAGAAAAGCTTGCATTTTCTTTGCAAAAATCCACAACATATAAACCAGGCATGGAGTAATTGTCCCGCTTGATAACTTGTACTTACATACGAGGCTCGCTTTTGGAAAAGAAAGTTTGCCCCTTTAACTACCTAGTGTAGTTAAAGCAGCAAAAAAAAAAAAAAAAAAAAAAGACAAAAAAGACCTTGTGTGGGTGTCCTCAGAAGTGCTTATTTTGATCCAAATTGCAACATGTTACACATCTGTATGGGCACAGTTAAGGCTTTCACCAGCACAGCCGTGCCCAAAACACAAATCACCCCACCGATGTTGCTGTGTTGTCGGGGATAGCTGAGATACCTATAAGTCCGTTAAATCTAATAACAGGTCCTTAGAGGCCATTTTGGGGTTTTTTTGGGGTGTGTTAAATTACTAAATCTTGTTATTAACGCTTTTATTTTATGATTTGCTGTTTCCAGGGCACAGACAGAAGCTTGATGACTCTAAACCTAGTTTGTTCTCTGAACGCCTCAGTGATTTAGGGCGCATTCCTCATCCCAGTATGAGAGTAGGGGTCCCGACCCAGAGCCCACGGCCCTCTCTGAACTCTGCACCAAGTCCTTTTAATCCACAAGGACAGAGTCAGATTACAGGTAAGAGACAGAACCATAGGTTTGACTTGCACAGGCAACGGTAGTAATTGCTTATGGATATTTGTGTCTCAGCTGCAGTAAAAGAGGCTGTTACAGAGTGAGAGATGTGTTCCAAGCAAAGCTAGGTGGGAAGTGGATTTTTCTATAGTGTTTGAAGCTGAAAATGTCTTTCTTTTTTTAAAATATCTTTTTTCCGTAAGTCCGAAGTAGTCCAAAATAGTCAATCTGGGTAAATTAAGTAGGAATCTGGTGAAATTCTAACTGCCACGTTGCTCTGCCTTGTCCTCCGTGTGTGCAATAGTACGTATTAGAATGAACGTTTTTATTCAGCGTTTTTATTTTGCACTGGTGTTGAGGGAAGCAGCCAGCATTTAATGGTCTTTCTATCAGAATAATAATACAATCCTCTCATGTGGCGGTTTTCTTCTAGCACCAGTGCTGACCACTGTTACAATAAATGATCTGGGTTATGGAGAAATCTCCAAAGGTTGCTTATGAGGGTTGTATGCAACATTTATGATTGCATGCTGAGAGACAGATTTCATTGTGCTGAGAGAAATCATAAAGTACCATGTGTCACAGATTATAAGACCGAAATAAGGTTTAACTGCAGCTATGCCAGAAGTTTGCAACAAAACTGTGAAGCCTACAAAATAAACCGATTTTGACATTTTTCTAAATTCAGAGCTGGTTAATTTTTTCAAAAGAGTGTCAAAACAACCTCTACCTAATTTTGGCCATTTCTACACTGAAAACTTGTGCTGACGTATTTGTGTCTATCCAGGATGTGACGAGGTGTTGCCCCTGAGCAAGTCACTTGCTAGAACTGTTGGAGAACTTCACCTAGATGCAAGTCCATCGACAAAACTCTTGGCTCAATTTTCTAGACCAGATTAAAACTCAGTTTTGCTGCTATAGTTGCATCTATACCAGGAGACCTTTGCCAGTCTTATAGACCAGTATTCCTTCTCTGGTAAAGCACTCCTAGTATAGACATAGTCTTTGAGTCAACCTAGGAAGATTTCTGGTTTCATGTTTCAAGTGGTTTTGACAAGATACCAGCTGAAACTTAGCGGTTTTAACAAAGTGTTGTGGCTTTCTTCTTCTTTCTTTTTCTTGTTTTTTAAGTTCCACTGGTTTATTAATTTGCAGTAAGAAAGAGAAGTAAGTGGGTTAATTTGAACCCAAAGCACTCAGAGAATTGAAACGAAAAAATTATTCCCATGAGCTGTGGCAAAGTTCTCCCAGATCTAGAAGTCTAGCTTTAACTAGCATAAAGTGTTTATAATATATTAAATATGTTGATAGTACCCATTACAAGGTACCTGCTGCCCACCAGCTTCCCAGAGCAGGTTTTTTGGCCAGGCTTAGTGTTTTCTTAGTTGGATATGTGAAGTCAGGGCTCTTGTGCGTATCATTTTCTGGGTACGAACTGCCAAACTAAAGCCCAATATTTTTTTCTAACCTACTGTCTTCTGTCTGGCAATGTTTGGGGACATAGTTCCTGAGAAAGCAGGGGGAAAAACTGGGGTTATAATCAGCTTTTTCTCCTTTTTCTTGTGCCTCCATAGTTTACCTATTGTGCAACACTATATCTAGGAACGAAGGAGGGTGAAATTCTTCCTGACCCCATCTGGTGATCAGCTTATGCCCTGAAGCACGAGAACTGAGATCCCCTTGTAATTTTCTTCCTAGCTAAGTGTAACCTCATATGTTGCTCTCATTCACGTAAATGCCTCCTGTAGAAAATGTTCTGCTGGGTTTGATTAATAGAGTACTTCTCTGCCTCGTTATGAATCAGCAGCAGCATTTACAGATCCGGGAGGTGAAAACTTCAGATGAGCTTTAAATAAGCCTGACTGGAAACAAAGCTGTGTGGCGTTCGCTGTCTTCTCTGCAAAGTTAAGAGTCAGCAGTTCAAAGTACCAGCTGAGACCTCATCGAGAGAGGGAAGATGTGGTGCTGGTAGGGCAGAGGGAGGTGAGCCGAACCGAGGAATGCAGGCTGACTTTCCCATCTATTGTGGATTATGTGCTTTTCTTGCCAGATAAACTCATGGTCATGGGATATTTTGGAATCCCAAATTGCTCTCATTTCCCCCAAAGCAGTGAGGACTCAGCTGCTTATTAAAGTTTGCAGTGAATACGGGGCTGTACTGTGGCCCAATACAGTATTTGCCATGTTATTCCCCACCTTAGTCTCCACCTCAATTTAGAAAAGTTAAACACCCAGCCCTCAAAGGCTACTCGTTAGCTTTCTGGTAGCCCTCCCATTTAATAAGGCGATTAGTGTGAGCATGTTCCATCGGTACGAGCCTGTGAATTGTGCTGGTTTCCCCACAAGGCTTTTTGGTACTCTTCAGGATGTTGATTGTAATCTGTAAAGCTCTGCGTGCTTTGATGTTCCACCAAAGTGCTGGGATGCTTTTTGCGGACAGTCCCTCTGAGTTCTTCTGGGATGAATGGATGCTCGTTGCCACACAAACCCTGCCAACGAGAGACAAAGTTGATGCCGCAGACGAGGCACCTCTTTGATCGGGTGTGAGGTGACCATGGGAAATTGCTAAACGTCCGCCTGTTTGGTGTGGTGGTAGGGAGTGAGCTGTTTGGGCTGTCCATCTCCACCAGTTTCCCTGTTGCAGTGCGATATTCAGTGGGAATGATCCCCTGGCTTCTTGACATTGTCACTGCGCTGGTATGGCTTGGGTATGAATTGAAAGAGGAATAGACCCTTGTCTGAAAAACAAGGATTTTTTTATTACCTTTATTGGAATTAACCAAGCATTCCTTTAGAAATACCTTCGTTTCTTAATCTTTTCACCTAGTAATTTAGGGAAAATAATTAATTCCTAATAACTTTAACAGTAAATACTGTTTCCTACGACAAAATCCATATTATTGCTAGTAAGCACATAAACTGTTTTTGTTTCGTTCCACTTGAGGTCTTGCATAGCTATTGCATGATTAAACAGAAATAATATTTAAAGCCTGGCTCGCCCACACCTGAGTCTGAAAGAACTCAGCACTTTGGGGTTCACTCTTATATTTCTTTTCTCTGTCTAGGTTATGTTTATTTTCCTAGAGTATCAGAGTACAGGTTTTACAAATCACAGCACAGTCCTAAACCTACCAGAGGACAGGGCTGTGGCAGTGCAAGGCACAGAGTTGCCCTTATTCGACATGGCATTTTAACTAGGATTCTGCAAAAGCAACATCGAAGGGTCATTAAAAAACAAATCGTCCAATAAGCAGATGCCTTTGCTGAGGCAATGCAGATTCAATTTGAACCCCGCTTGCTGCCCATAAATCAGGAATCCTGTCTGTTCACATTTGGATACTGGTATATTTGCTTTTTTATTTTTTTTCCCTTTCCCTAACGGCACTCACACAACTTACTCACGTATCCGATTACGTTCCCGTTCAGACATTGAGCTGTTGCATCAGTGGTTCAGTATGAAAGGAGGAAAGCTGTTGTTTTTCTAAAACGCAACCCATGGGGATTAGCTTCTGTTGGCCAGGAAAAGCCACGGGCATAATGGCAGGAATGTGGTCGGCGCGAGGACCCCGGCGGCTGGGCTGCGGGGACTGCGAAGTGGGAGTTAAGTGAGGTTTCATGCTCCATCACCACCGTGGCACCGTCTGATCTATAGGCAACCTGTGACTTTCATCACTGAAATAACAGCACTCAAAAGCACGTCCCGTGAAATCTTTTTTTTTTTTTCCTTTTTCCTCTTCCCCTCCCCATGCACTTCAGGACATCGCGCTTTCATTTCTCATCATTTTTAGGGTTGTAGGAAGCAGATTTAAAGGCTTCAGAGCTGGCTTACCTGGAAGTTAGTGAGGGACCCATCTCCACTGGCAGGCAGGGACTGGTTTCAGGGACAGTGCAAACTGAGTCTGCTGGGAAGACCATGGGCAGAAAGCACTTTCAGCTCTCAGACGGAGGATGAGGATGGTACCAGCTGGGCCCTCCTTAATTCCCCTGTTCAGGACTTGCAAGCAATGGGCTGGACACTGCCCTTTTGCAGAGGCAGGGAGAAGGCAGAAAGCCACGCTCATCACAGCGTTGTCCTGGGCTCTGGATATGAAGCTGTGCAACGTCTGCCTCAAAGACCAGCGTCTGTTCTCCGAGACCATCAGCTGCAGGACAGGTTTGAAACAGAAACTGTGTAGCTGTTATTAGACCAGCCCTATGCAAGCGCCCTGCCAGGGGTTGGCTCTGTTTTGCCTGGGACCAGCAGCACTCTGAAGCACGTACCAGTTTGTAGCTGGTGCACATCAATCTGAGAGCACATCAGACAAAGTACATGGTTGCCTGGAACAGATGATTTAGAAATAGCCCAAGTAATAGGCTTCCAGGGTGAATTATGCCTTCAACTCACTGTAACATGGAATAAAAGCTACAGGACTCAGTGGATGAGGTGGTGGTGCTGGGATTTCTGCTGCCATGAACACAAGGGTGGCTGCAGTCTGCTGTATTTTGTGCAAATTGATTGCATCCTTCAGGCGACTGGCGAGTTGCCATTGTGAACTTCCATTTGGTAAAGCTTGTGTCCCTCCTATTAATGTATTCTTTGAACTTTATTTTTCGCCCCCCTTTACAATTTAGTTGCCCTACTGGCATGACTTGTTCAGTTTATTTTTTTTTCTTTCAGAAATACGGCTCTTGGGGGGGTGGGAAGAGAAATGGTTTTAGAGGTTCTTCAGGCCAGAATCTGGTCTCAATTACGCTTCTGTACATTGGGGTGTAACTTCATTGGATTTGACTTCACTGATTGAACTGGGCAATCCAGATCAAGCCCTGGCGTTTTAAAGATGCCTAAGAAATAGTCAGAGAAGAGGAGGAGGTTGCATTTTTGTTGTTGTTGTTTCGCTGGGGAGGGTGGTGTTACAACAATACTTGGGTTACTCATGCAGAAAGTCATCTTGACTTTGTTAAGATCAGAAGTGAGGATATTTGCCTTAAATGTTTACCAAAGATAGCTCTGGACAGCTTGTTTTTTGGTGTCAGCAGTAGCACTAATACAATCAGCAGCAGCCAGTGCTAGAGCTGATGGCTGGATTCAAATGAGAGTGGGTTTGCAAAGTGCGTGCACGCATGTGACATTGGGGTGTTACAGACGGTACGTGGAGGAGCTGCGAGCCTGTGATCATGCTCTGATCATGTAACTCAGCTTGGGAAATGGGAAATTGATTTTTTTTTTCCATAGTAAATCTGTGTGCTTCATAATCCAGTGCCAAAGCAGTGGAAAAACTCATTCTTCAGGGCTGTTTACGGGTTTTTTCTTCTCTCCATTGACACTTCAGAACATTTCCATTGAAGGAAGAGAAGTCACATTGCTGGAGAGCCAATGTTGTCAGTGGGAGAACGGGTCACTGGGGTTTTTTTCATTCTTTCTTTTTTTTTTTTTAGTTTTATACAGCGTGTCAAATCATAGACTGATTTTTAAAGCTGCTTATTGTCCATTAAGCGTCAATGTCCATTGTCCATTGATGCAGTCAATCACAGACCACAAGGGTCGAGAACCATGTGTATCTCCCACTGCCTGTAAATGTGGCAGTAAGAACGAGACACAAAATAATTTGCAATACTCAATATTTCCTGCTTCAGCGAATTTTACCTGGCAGTGCAAACGGGACAGAGCTGTTTGTGCACTAGTTTAGACCTCGCCCTGCTGACTTGTTTCAGCTGAGCTGTGCCCAGGCTTTCTTAGCATGTGCACGATATGCCCCTTTGTGAACAAATATGCTGAAAGCCGTACTTTTCTTCACACCCAGGCAGGCGTAACAGAAATGTTTACAAAAGGAGGACTGCTCTTAGTAATCACTCCAAAATTTTCAAGTGCAAATGCCGACCCAAAGTGGCCCTCTGCCTCCTTTGCTGTCGTTGAACTAGCCCTTCCCCATAGTTGCTGTACGGGAAGGTAGGACACTTTCTCCTGAGCTGCTCAGTGTATTTTTGTAGTAGCGTTTTCCCTTGTTTTCGAGGGATTCCTTTAGGGAGGAATACGCGTTTGCTCTGCCTCAGAGCTCTGGGGTTTCTCATCTGTTCTGGACTTTTCATGATTGGGAAGATGTGCTGCGTCTGCCAGAGCACGTGGTGCTTGGGGTGATGGCGCAAAGCGCCTGGCCCGCAGGGACCCGGCAGACACATGTGAGCCCTCCAGCCAGAGCAAACAGGGAAGCTGCTCTTTGGCGTAGCAGACCAAGGAAAACCTCTCGCAAATCCATTTGTAGCTTCATCCCTGCTGGTATGGCTAAATAGCCACTCCACCCCTTCTGTGCCCAAGCAAGGAGGAGGTGACCCTCCTAAGGACATCATTGTGTTTCTCCCACAAGCATCCGCTTGGATCTGCCCCAGAAGCACTGGCAGGCACCTCCCATGACACCCCTGGCACCCTCCTTGAGCCCAGGAGGTTTGGTTTGGTGGCGTGTGGGACCAGAAGAGACAGGCTGGTTGGGCCTCGGTGGCTGAAGTTTCTGCTCCAGCGGTGTTGCAGGGAACATCTGCTGGTGGGACCAAAGGGTGCTGCATGAGACCCAGCTACACATCTGCCTTCGAGGACTAGTCGGGGCAGCTTTGCACTCTGCCTCATGACATTTTACTACCGGGATTGTGCAACGCCATTGAGCAGCAATGTTTACCCTGTGGGCTAGCAGATCACCTGTCCCTTGGCAAGGCGAGGGCATTTCGCTGCTCTCTCCTCACGTGTCCGTGCAAACCTTGGCCACTGTCAGTGAGCAGAGGCTGGTTTTAGGGAATTTATTCCAGGATCTGGTGAAACCCATATCTTCAGTTTCTGGTTTCCTAATGGACCACAGATAATGCTTGAAGCCAGTCAGCCCCAGGTCAAAATTCCCCACCCTGCCTCCATCATGACCTCAGCCATGTCTTCGCTAACAGTCCACCCTCTCCTTTCTTTTTCTCTAAAAATACTTTGCAGTTTAAAATCTTACAGTCTGGACTCATGAGGAGCTGAAATCAAATATACGTATAAAAAAGAAATGTGGTAATGCGGCGCTGAGGTTGGGATGAGCTATTGAAGCAGTGTATAAATTTAAGCTAGTTGTCATAAGAATATATGATACAGGTCAACTGATGGTCCGTCCAGCCCCATATTCTGCCTCTGACAGCGCAGTATGAGATACTGTTTTGAAAGACCACATGAGCCTTTGAAAGACCACTTTTTGCCATTTGTCCTTCTTGTGTCCACACAGGCATTCACACTTGTTGGATTAAGGATGTTAGGTGTAAAACTAGGTCTAGCATGGCTGTTCAAAGTGGTGAGGGTGCCAGAGACACTCAAGATCTCATGCCATGAGGACTGCACTATGAGAGGTGGCATGAACCTCCAGAAGGCAGCTCCTGTCCTGAGGTTTTCACCATCTTAGACCAAAATCCTGTGAAAATATCTTCTGTTGTCGGGTTTTTTTCCAAGCCTTTACCTGCTATATAATTTCCTTCCAGCACTGGAGGTGACCTAAAACTTTAAGAGACTCTCTTTTGGATTCGGAAGCAGAGATTGAAAAGCTCTTGGAGTTTGAAGGAGCTCAGATATGATACTGTGCTCCTGACACATCATTAATTTTAAGATTGTTTTTCCAGCAAGCCTAGGCTTTCCGTTCCCAGTTGAAGATCATTTACCATTGACTGAACGGTGAATTATAGTAGTGGAACAAGGCAGAGAAATATGTCAATATCAGATATAACAACGAGCAGTCAGTCAAATCTGAACCTGCGCCAATCTATACAACCCTAGCCTTGAAATTGTTAAAACAAAGAAGTTCATTACATTTAATGATCAAGTGTCCTTCGGATTTCTGAGGAGTTTATGTTAACCACTTATATTACTCAGCTCTAATATAAATGGCAAACTCCAGGAAAATCCTCTTAAAATTAAATGGGAAAGTTGTTTTTTTTATATATATCTATATAGTTATTTTGCTTCAAGGAAGTATCTGCTTTCCAGACATCTCTTCAAACAAATCATGTCTGAACAGAAAAAATAAACAAGGAATAGCTGAAACTACAAGGTTGTGCTGTGTGGAAGAGCAGGGAAAGGAGTTAAAAAAAGAAAAAAAAAGTTGAATTTCCTGAAAAAGTGCCTTTGCTTATGCCATGTGGCTATCACATTGCTGACTACAAAGTAGGGCCTTAGCACAGTGCTCTGATGTAGCAGGTTCTCCAAATTGAGTGGACCTGATGTGCTTCACTGAAAATACTGGGGAGGATTTGGAGGGATGTGCTACAATTTCTACGAGCCAGTTCAGAGATAGTTTTCTGTTTATCGTTCAGTGCCCAAAACAAACTTTGGGGTTGGAAGTGCTTTGTTTTTATCAATGTAAAGAAATAAAAATAATAATTTATGAGGCATTCAGTGGTATCTTTATCGCCAGATATTAACTGAGAGCAAATGGTTTATAAATCCAAACACCAGTGTGTAAAACTAGGTCTCCCTCTCTCTCAGAGGAATCCACCAGTGCTTCAGCAGAAAATAAACTGTATTTATCCTTAAAATCATTTCTTCTATAGTGAGCTGTAGCAAGTACATCAAAAGGCATCGTTAGCTTCCGATAGTTATTCCAAACCATTTGGTTTCATATTGTTGTAATTGAGGTGACTGTAGGTAATTAGGCCAGCATCCAAATGTGACGTTTTTTGACGGCTGCTGATAAGATTCACGACATTTTCCTTCTTGGATAGTACTTTCAACACTGAAAACACTACTGTGTAATGTTTGAACTGGATAACAACTTGCCAAGTGCTGACTGTAGAGTCTCCCCACCTCAAGTCCACTTCCTAAGCTCAGACCTGGGTCTCATACTTATGGTTTGCTTATCTGTCTGGATCCACGAGGACTTGCAAGTCCTGGTATAACATGCTGTTAGACCTGGATGAGAGACGCTAGGAATTTGCAGCACAGCTTCTAGGTCTTTTAAAACTCTGCTCACTGCCCCGTTCATTTCCCCCCAAAATTGTTATGGGGAGGGAAGAGCACAGAGTGAGGCTTGAAGAGGTTGAGTCCTAGAGGAGCAGATCGTGTTGCATTGCATTCTCATTCCTTATAGCACTGATGTGTGTGTGTTCAGTAATCCCACCTCTTTCAATTAGGCTGTTGATGCCCTATAATTTTTCTTCCTTTTTAAAAAAAATTCTTGTTTTGTTTCCCTAGACCCCAGGCAGGCGCAGTCATCCCCGCCATGGTCCTATGACCAGTCTTACCCATCCTACTTGAGCCAGATGACTTCGCCATCCATTCACTCCACAACTCCCCTGTCCTCCACTCGAGGCACAGGACTTCCAGCCATCACCGATGTGCCCAGACGCCTCTCAGGTAAAGATCTTTTGCCTAAAACAATTATGCAGATAGGAACAGGACTGGCAGAGGCTGCCTCCGTGGCCTCAGACAAAGCTTAATAAGAAGAGCAGAGCTCAGTCGGTGATAACAGGGTTACCGCACAGTGGGCGGGGGTCAAAATCCCTTTTTTTTTGATGTGGAAGAGCTGCTGTGTTGCTCTGAGCATGTATCATTCGAATGTCTCTAGGTCCATTTCAGATCAAACTATTTTTTGATTGTGCACCTGATTCTATGAACAAATTCTCTCTTTTTTTCCCCTACAAGAGGATGTTTACTTGCATGTTTTAAAGTAATTGTGATATTCTCTATTTTTTGGTGCTTTACTTTTGTGGTGTGTGTGATGTTAGGCATCCTGACAGATGCCTTTATTACTTTGATAGTTAAGGCTAAGGTTCATTCTCCCACATATCAATCCAGTAGCTCAAGAAAGCCTATTTCCTTAGTTAATGTGTACTTAAGATGCCTATCAGAAACTAGCTGAGTCACTTTAGGGTAAAGTTTGGACAAATTGTGCTTTGGAATGATGCAGGAGAGAGGAAACATGTTTAGGAGCATAGACAAGACAGCAGCGAGGAACTGAGACTTTTTTTTTATCAAACAAATGTACATTTACATACTATGCAATTCATCTCTAATGGTCTCAGTGATAAAACCATCTGTGTGAAGTAATCTGATTGCCCCAAAGTAAGATAGAGCCTGTCATGGCACACAGTCACCTTGTATATCTTGCCAAAAATGAGGAACCTTAGGGGAGGGAGGCTCAGTATTAAAACTCCAGCCTTGCAAGTGTGGAAATATTAGCAGCGTATGCCAAAAAAGCATGTGTAATGTAAAAAAAGCCTTTATGATTCATTAATGAAAACCAAAGAATCAGTCTTATTACATCTATTTTTTGCATGTTTGCAAGATATTATTATAATCTTGGATGCTGCTGCCATACACCTGTTTGACTCGCAGCCAGGTGAATTTCTTGCTGTTGTGTTTTCCCCTTCCACCAAGCTCATAGCGCTGGAAATGTTGATCACTCCACTGAGCTGCATCACCGACAAGCTGCACTTCAGCCAGCAGGCATGTAGGATTTGATTAGCGTAGACTCCTTGATTTCTTTCATCTTGGAGGAGGGAAGCTTTGTTTCTCAAACAAACAGCTGCAAAAAACTCTGCGGTCCTAGCGCACTCTGCGTTCGCAGAGAAGCCAAACGTCTCCATGTGGGCCGGGGGTTGGAGGGTAGTGGAGCAGGTTCCTGTGGGCTCTCCGTGCAATGCGCTGACTTCGTTCAAAAAACTTGATGGGCTTGATGCTGAGGAAATGCTTTGTTTGGCCTGAAACAGGTTCCCTTTGAGTCGGAGCCTCCTGATGGTTTGTGTTGTCAAGTGGGTTATTTTTGCAATTGTGCCCCCAGCAATACCTCCAGGAGAGGCTCGGCTGGGACCGCGGCAGCTGTACTGCTGCATACTTGCCCTGCAGCTCTTGCTTGTCTGTGTGTATTCAGACATGAGTGCCTGGCATGTGGGCACAGGCAGAATGACTAAAAGACCTGGCTGTGTACATTATGTGGCCGCGGACTGAACTTTTCTGCTGTACTCTACAGTTGGTTGCCTTCATGCTTCTTGCCCTTCATCTTTTGGGGGCTCAACCGACGCCTCCACAATGCTCTTACCATTTCCCAGCGTGGGGATCTTGCTTCCAGTTAGATTCAAGATTGGAAAGAGGGGACTTTGATCTTCCACAAGTGCCAGAGGTTGTCTGCAGTCTTTGCTGACATTCAGAAATAGAGCGGCGTTCCTGGGTGGAGGACGAGCTCTGATGTTCAGGCTGCAAGGAGGCGCGTTGCAGCCCCAGCTGCAAACCCTGCAATTCCTCTCAAGGGTTTCTACCTAGCAGTGCCACAGGGAGGGAGGAGGGCAGGATCCGACCCCTTTGTGCATAAAGTGGAGAGAGAAATGCAAGTTTAAAGCTGCCCCGTACAGCAACCGGTTTATCCCTCGCACATGGACAAATGCTAATCTCCACTCAGTTACTTGATACATCTTTCAGAGGAGACCAGAGCTTTGATGGGGGGGAAAAAAAGACTGCTAAGAAACACTAAAAACGTTAGAAAACTTCAGGCACCTCCAGTGCATGAGGGATAAATTAGAGTTTTACAAGGCCTTGAATAAAAACAAACTTTGCTTTCCGATACAGTGGCAGAAATCTGATTATCAAGGCAGTTAAAAGTATACAAGGTAATTTTAATGAATGCCATATTTACTGCCTGTTGCCTAACATCATACAGGAGGAAAAATGGGTCAAATATCCCCCTTAGGCCTTGGATGTCACACCTACAGGCACAGGACTTCCTACCTGCCACAATTTCACATCACCCAGCCTTTCCACAGGCCTCCATGGCTTCGCCTAGACCACTGCTTAAGATATGCTCACCCAGAAGTTGAAAATATACCATCTAATAAAGTAATGTGTCCTTCAAAAGAGTGGTTCCTGGTTGTATTGTCAGTGGCAGCCCTCAAGAGCTATTTTTGATGGTACTCCCATGACCAGAAACACATCCATGCCCAAAACGATGCTGTTCCTCCCCATCCTGGGATGGGTACATCTCTTGATGATGAGGACTCCTGTGTTTCCATCACAGATTAGGTTGAGGATCAAAAGAGGTTTGGAGCTGTAGGAAAGGAGGTGATGGGGAACTGCCATAGCAGTTCATGAAGTTCTCCGTCCCATGGGAGAGGGGAAAAGGGCAGTAGGCTGCAACCCCGAGGAGTTATTTGGGCAGGCTGGTGTAATGTGGCTGAACTGGTCGTGTCAGTGTCTAGACTGATTTCTTTGCACAACTGAAATGTTTGCATGAATCCTGCAGGCACGTGCAAATGAGTGCCCACGGCTGTCAAACTTCAAGTATTCATCTTTTATTCTCCAAATGGGGATCAGTGCTGTATTTGCAGTGTTTTACAGCTAATTAATGATGTGTCACGCATATTTGGGCAGTATACAGCAGCAATAGCTGAAAAGCAAAGCAAAAAAAGATTCTCTGGCATCACTCATGCAACTTTTGAACCAATGATCTCTCATGTTCATATCAAGAATAAATAAAAAATAAGCTCACAAGGCCATGCAATTGACCTACGTTATTGCACCAACTCAGTCGTAAAAAGAGCAGGATTCCCCGTATTTTACTAAAACATCTGTCTGCTCAGACTTACCCAGAAGACAGTGAAAGTTGGTGGCCTAGCAGATTAATATTCTTAATTAAATAATGTTGTAGTGGAAACCATGGGAATATATGAACATGATCATTTTAGAGAGAGTTTTGCCTGAGGGATGTAGTCTTATTGCGTGATTCATAGTGAATGCACTCAGTCTTTGTGTCCTATGCATAACCGAAGTGCATGTGGGATGGGGAGCATGAGTGTCTGTTATGTAATTAATGTATATGATTCATATAAATACACATCACAGCCGTTTTACGTAAAGCTTTGAGACTGATCCAGCAAGTCCTCAGCACATGCAGGGTTCAGAGCAGAGAGTACAGGTCGGGTTGTTGCTGCAGTCACCTCCGCAGCAGGTGAAGGAGGTATGGGTATGGATGTCCCCAGAGTAGACATCCATATCTGAGACAGTCACCTTCAGCTCCCTTTTGAGTCAGTGGGGACAAACTGGTATTTGCAGGACTTGACCAGTCTGCAGATGAGCTGTACTGGTCCCTGGCAGTGCCTTGGAGGAGCCTGTTTGTCTCCACAGGCTCTAAAGAGAGCCTAGGTGAGTAGTTCAGGTACAGGCACGTCTGATCTGATAGTCTGCCTTTGTTGAGGTGGTTTAAGAGATGATTTAACTGTCCCATAAACATCTCCATATCATAGCCTTGTTACACGTCAGTCCTGGTTTAACCCTGCCATGGTCTGCCTCACCTTGACCTCTACCTGCTCTGCGATTGTAGGGTTTGAGCTTGAATTTAATTTTGTTGAGAATACTGAGAAGGGAGGTGGGGAGACTTCTTCTTCCCCTACGCTTTTCCTGGGCCTCCTCACCCTTCTGCCTAAACACTAGTCTCTTGCTTTTTGCTTCACCTTTGAGAGAGACTTGCAGGGTCACTGTCTTAAGAAGCTGGAGGACCTGCCCTGCAAGTGTAACATGAACACGTTCAGTGCCGGCTGTGGGAGAGCCTGTCCTACACAGCTGTGTTTGACAAATGCCCATATGACAAAGGAGAAAATCAAAACTGAATCAAAACAGCAGGACAAACCACCAAACCTACCTTTTCCAGCCCTGGGCTCACACTCTTTGCAGATAGTTGTCAGCTGGGGATGCTGGCCTCGTGCCACCATGCCCAAACTCTCCCATCCCACGTGCTGGAGTCCCTGTAGCGCGTGGGGTGGATTTTGCTGTCCTTATAGTTGCTGTGTCATTGAATAGGAACACGCTGAGATAGATGAGGGACACACTGGGCTCAACCTTTAAACGCTGGGCTCAACCTTTAAACAAAAGAAGTTTGCAGACCCATCCCTCTCAACTAAAATGGCCAGAAAGGAATATCTTTACCAGTAAATTACACAGTGGTAGGGCCTGGGCTGTTAAACCCCGGTATTGTTAAATTGTCAGCGAGGTTGATTTTCAGCGGGGTTGGCCAGCACGCTCCCAAGCAGGTCCCAGCTGTGGTTTGGAAATGAGCAGAGTCCCGAACCCATTCCCCTGGGCAGCTCGGAGGCAGCCACCTTGTTGTGGAGGCTAAAAGGATTTAATATTACAGCTGTGGCCAGACCATCCTGGCTGGATTTAGAGCCAGAGAATGGGCGCTGACCCTGGGCTGTTTGCTAGTTCAAGTGTAGCCAAACTTTCCCATTAATTCATCTCGCTCTGTAGATACCACCGCATTGTTTTAGACCATCCCGGACCTTCATCGGATATTGAATTTAAGAAACGTTCCTGTTTTCCCAGCTCACTGAGGGCTGGCAAGTAGAAATGCAACCCTGCGAATGCCAGCCATGCCCTAATCAGTGACAATACTGTTCCTTTACACAACTGAATTTTCATTCTTGTAAGCCTACAAATCTTAAAATAAAAAACACATATAATGGAAGCAGCTCCAGCTGAACCTCTGGATTTAGTGTTTGTATGTTAATGAGAAAGTGGCTCACAGTGATGGGCTGGTTTTCCTTGAGGTCCTGTACTGGTTATCATCTTGGGTTCCTAGCCCTGAATATGAATTACCTTGGATTTTGCTTAATGTCACATACACGCATGATCTTTATAGTAAGTATTTTCCCTTTTGGGGGGGATTTAGTCTTTAAAAAATATTAATGTTAAGAAAGAAGTGTTGTTTATCGTCTTCTAAAGAGCTCAGAAAACTTTACAGCTACCAAGTAAAAACTGTGCTCATGTGAGGTAGGTATTCTTGCATCCCTTAATTCCTACTAACTTCATTAAACGTTGTGGGTAATAAGCCCATTTCAGGACAGAACCCTTAATAAGAGAAGGCATTAGTGCTGTCTCCAAAATACAATTCTTTTCCTCTTTACATGTGCTGGGGAGCAGAGAAATGGTTAATACCGTGGCCATTGCCAGCAACGGCCTTGGTGTTAGCAGCTCCTGAAATGAATGAGCAGTTCACGCTTCAGCAATATTGTCTCAGGCTCTTGGCAATCCCAAGAAGCCAGCTCTGTTTCTGGTGCACTCACTATGCTGCGGTGTTTTTCTTGGTGACTATAACAATTTTCACTCTGTCTTCTTTTTTTTTTGAAAATGGAAGCTGAGAGACTCAAGGTTGTCTCTGTCTCCATTTCTCGTAGCTAATTTTCAATGCTTTCCCTGCGCGGTGACACTGAGTTAAGGCAAAGTAAAGAACTTCGGAGAGCTCAGGTCTTCAGAAACAACCCGCTCATTTTGCTACCCTCCCTAAACCCATAACTTGTCTTTTTTTTTTTCATTATTTTTCAGTGGTTCTATTTATTTTGTTTACCACAGGTTTTCCATTTTTAGTCTCCTGCCCACTCAGTGCCGCCTGGGAATCTCAGCACCTTGGCACTCATCTGTGGGGTTTCAGTAGCAGCCTCTCTGCTGGGTAGAATCTCTCATTGGAGT